CTAAACAACATCAAGAAATATAAAAATTATATTATCAAAGATAATCTTTTAATGCGTCGACTAAATCATCCAGTTCCTTATGTACCACAAGACGATCTTCGAAGAACAATTTTACAAATTTATCATGATACTGCAGCAAATGGTGCTCACTTCGGAAGAGATAAAACAATACATAAAATTAAACAACGTTATTTTTGGCCTTCGATGTACAAGGATATCAATAATTATATTAAATCATGTATTACTTGTGCTCAATATAATCCTCGTCGGAGAAAAGCTCCTGGTAAATTACGACCAATTAAACCTCCAGAAGGTGTATGGCAACTAGTAGCTATGGATTTTCATGGTCCTATCAATCCCACATCTCGTCGCGGCAATAAATATATAATATGTCTTACAGATATTTTATCAAAATTTGTGGTAACAAAAGCAGTACGTGATAATACTGCACAAACAGCTGTTAAATTTCTTAAAGACGACGTTATTTCAAAATTTGGTACACCTCGATATATCTTAACCGACAACGGCACTCATTTTACATCAACAGTTATGAATGAATTAGTCAAACAAATTGGATCAACACATTTATATTCAACACCATATCATCCTCAGTCGAATGGTCAAGTTGAAAGATATAATTCAACGATGGATGAAAAAATTGCAGCTCTATCCAACATACAAAAAACAGATTGGGATGATCAATTACCATTTGTAACATTCAATTACAACACGTCGATCCATTCCTCGACCAAGCAAATTCCATTCGAAATGATGTATGGCCGAGCACCAATATTACCATTTGATTATCAAGGAGATAATGTTACCATTCAATATGATAATGAACACGTGAAAAAACTTAATCAATTCTTAACAAAGTTAGATGAACAAGCAAAAATTAATATTAAAAAAAATCAAGAACGATATAAACAACGTTACGATGCAAATCGTTCTGATCCATCATATAATATTGGTGATCTCGTTCTCGTTAAGACACTCTACACCTATTCAAAATTCAATATCCGTTATGAACGACCATTTAGAATTACTGAAAAACTTGCACCAAAGACATTTATCGTACAACACATCAAGAAACCAACATTACATCGTCAAGTTACAACTGATGTGTTACTTCCAATTTTTGAACGCATTCATTAATTTTAGGACCTCTTTTTTAAAGAGATCCGAAGCATAAATGATATGTCGAATTTTATGGAATAATTAATTATTATCAGAATAACAGGATCTAATATGATTTAGCATAGCAAGATCGGGGAGTGTGACTTTTCCCCATTCACTGGTTTTGAAGGGCCATTATATTCGATTTGGAAAATTATCCTTTATAATTAATTATTTCATTACACGAAATACAATTTATGGATATGTTAATATTCATTTATTTATTCTTTCAAACTCTCATCTGATCAATGAGAATCGAAAAGAAACATTATTTCGTACTCTATCTTTATTGACATATGAATTAATGAATGATAAACGAATGATAAATTATCTAGTTACTTTTTCAGAAAAAAAAAAAAAAAAAAAAGAGAAATTTTTAACCAGATGATATTTGCTAGATTCCCATCTTCTATAGGAATCGATCATTTTTTCAATTATAGATTCCCTATTTCTGCGAGAATCGATATTTATAATATATTTTTTTTGTAGCAATGCTCTCCAAAGAAGAATATAATAAAACAGTATGGCAACTTGAACATATTTCTCGTGAAATTACTGGGAGGTACAGAAAAAATTTTCGTTCGACTCTCAAACGAAAAATTCATGAACATGATTTATCATCAACATATCCACCATTTGAACCTTTACCATACATTCCATATTTTGTTAATCGAACAACACCTGAACAAACGTTACATCAACTTATTGAAGCTGCAACGACAACAATTGAATTTACTCTTGATACTGAATCAGTTAATATATACAGAACAGCAAACAAACCAGTCCTTATACAATTACAGATCTTATTACCACACAACTTATCACTTGTTAATGTTATTGAAATGTGCCATTTACCCCCTGAAAATCATATTCGTTTTAAATTACTCAAACAATTGTTTCAAATAGTCTTCTCGGAAGAAAAACAAGTTTATATATGGGGAAGTACAGCTGAATTACTTTCATTTATTACATTTAAATTATTTTCATATGAACAAATTGATGGAATAAATTTAATTAATTTACAGGATCAATTTAAAACATATTGGAATCAACAACACATTCATAAATCAAATGAAGAAAATGATATTTGTATTTGTGAAAGTTGTTTAGGAAAACAACCATCAGAAACTTGGTCTCTCCAAGATTCGGTAGCACTGGAACTACATGAATATCTTTCAAAAGTATTAACAAATCAAAGTTTTGATATTGGTCTTGATCCAAATCTTCATCACATGAGTTCCAGTGAAAAAAATCATCGACAACGACTTACCACATATGCTTTACACGATTGTCTTTCGATGCACAAAATTATCATTAATATGAAAAATAAAAATTTTCAATTTAGCTTTGAAATCACAAAAAAGATTCCATATGATTTAATGGAATCGATTTCTTCAAGTGATGATGAAATAATGTTTTCACAACTTACACCATCTATTGAACGTCTGGAAAATGATCAAACATTAAATATAAATGAACAAGAACAATTAACCTCAACATCTACATGTGGAAATCCAAATTGGAAAATTACCTCCACCAATGACAAACAATTAACCAGTCAATAACAAACACAAACAACACAATCACAATCATCATCACAATCAGAACTTGAACATCCACAACGTACTCGATCTATACACGAACATGAACGTGAATATATAACACAACAATTATCAGCTGAAGAAAGAAAACGTATACACAACAGGAGTTGCACGTTAAAGCAACGTCATCGATATCACAACAACGAAATCATCATCAAGAATATCGACAAAGGATTCACAATAAAGGAAATCAAGGATATTCTCAAACACAAAAATATCTCTTTCTATGTCGTCAAATTTTCTACCTCATCAACCACAGGTGAACGAACATTATTTATTGGCATTCGTGATGAAACACAATTATCTGTATATGAACATGAAACAAAACATTTATTTACGCCATCTCATTTTCGACAATTTCAACATATGAAACGATAACTAAACTATCCTCATCGAAAGTATGATAAAAACGTACATCAGTGTTACCATCACAAATAAATTAATAAAATATGTTAATCAATATGTATTTAATTATTTATATTTACATATACATTTACCTGATTATTTATATATACATTTAATTGGTCATTTACATTATACATTTAACTAATTATATACATATACATTAGTTGATCATTTATGTATACAGTGACTATGTCAGATATTGTCGTCACTATCAACGATTTATATGTTCATGCAAATTTTTTTTTTCAATTACATCTGAATTGACTCTCATCTAACACTTATTCTTGTCTTTCTACTTTTTTTGGATATAATTTTCTTTACAGTAACACGTACTGATACTTTTATATCATTATTGTTAGAAAACCTATGTTCTTTCATTTTGTCATTTTTCATACTGTACTTTCTTGATATATGTATTTTGCCTATCCCATGTGATTTATTTTCGTGTTTCAGATATTCTTTTCTCTCTCTATTTTTTTCACTGTGTACGAAACCCATTATGACCAGCAACGTTTCCCTATCTAGTTTATTTTCATTTTTCTATAATCATTATTTTGGCTTTTGTTAAACCTTATATCATCATTGATTTTCTTTTTCTTTTCTCTCGATAGTTAAACACATGTTGTTATAGATATTTTTTTTCTTTCTTCTTTCTTTTCTCAACTTTTGAAACTCATTTTATCTTGATTATACGTTTATACTTCATTTACTATATATTGCCATCTTCTCTTCAACATTTACATTTTATTATTCAACAGTTTTTTATGTAATCCTTCACTTCCCATCTGTTGACATTAATCGTTACAAAATGTTGACAGGACACATTTTTCCTTCAATGGGGGAGAATGTTAGAGGGATGTCGCTAACATACGAAATAGCTTCATCCTATCCTCTTCTTATATCATATATCTTCTATATCTTTCTGTCTCTGTCTATTCTCTATCCTCTTTATTCTCTTTCGTCTGATATATACACTTGCTACACTTGTGTTGTTATTCATTCTTTATGGTTATTCAAACAAAATAAAGTGAAACATAAACACTAACAGAGATATAGAAGATCTTGGAGAATAGGAGATACTGCAAATATAGGAGATATAGAACATATAGGAGATATTGGAGATATAGGAGCAGGATGGTGGACTGACCTTTGATCTATCATCTTTCACTAGTGAATACACATGAAGCAGTATTAGCCAGTACGCTTTTTCTTATAGAAGATGTAAAAGATATATATCTCTACTCTCTTTGTCTCGAAAGAAAACCTAGAATCAGTCCTAAGATATAAATCTGTCTTAATAAAATGTCAGCGGCCACGCCACGACAAGGCACGCATTACACATATATGTAAAACTTGAAACATGAATTCAATTGAGTTTTCAAGTGTCAAGCTTCAATTTTCAAGTTCCTAGAAGTTCTGACAGGAACGGCTGACGCACAAATTCACGCATACGTCGTCGTAGCTAGTATAAGTGCCGCGATAGGACTGGCCACACTACGACATACATCACAGCCCAGCTGCTGTGAGTGCCGCGAAAGGAGTGGCCACGAATGGACTGGCCACACCAGGACACAGAGCACATCGCAGCTGCTGTTTGTGCCGCGAAAGAGCTGACCACACCACGACATAGATCACATCGCAGCTGCTATTTGTGTCACGAAAGGACTGACCACGAATGGACTTCTCACACTACGACACACATCATATCGCAGCTGCTGTGGGTGCCACGAAGGGACTGATCGCGATAAGAGTGGTCATAATACGACACACATCACATGGCAGTTGGTGTGGGTGCCGTGAACATAGATGTAAAGCTTGCAACTTGGTTTCAACTAAGCTTTCTAGTTTTAACTTTCAACTATCAGATTTCAAATTTCATCCACAAAGGGACATATCCCGCATGTGTTTCTATGTGGGTGCCGCGAAGGAACTCATACAGTGTTTCTGTCAATGTGATGCGTGTCAAACCTGAAAGTTGCAGTGAACTATCCAGTATTCTCATGAATAGTCACTGGATGGTAAGAACTTTTCCCCACCGAATTGATCTTTTATGTGAGAGACGGGGCGCATATGATGTGTTCGGAGAGTTTGCGCAGAAAGTCAACTAAACATCGATAGCGGAGATATAGTAGGTACTGGAGATGCAGGAGATATAAGAGGTATAGAGATATTGGAGATATGAAGGAAATAGGAGATATTGGAGATAGTGATTACCTAGTGCAGATAATCTTTATATAGTGCTTGACTTTGAATAACGATCCATTCAGATATATTGATTCAACTTTCCGACGCGCGTTCGAAAAAATCAATCATACAAAATAAATACCAGTTTACTATGCCTCCTACAATATCTTCAATACGGCTATATCTGCTATATCTGCTATATCCCCAGTATCTCCAGTATCGCCAATATCTCCAATATCTTCTATATCTCCTATATCTCCTCGGTCCATGTTTAATTGAGTTTTCGCAGAAACTTCCCGAAGACATCTAATCACAAAGACAGAGTCCTAATACATTAGGAGAATACACTCTTCTGATTATATACACAAAAAATATAATTATATTCATGTTTCTTCGATATTCGTTACAAACTGACAGGTCGAGCCCGAGCACGCGATTCATTTTCATGGAAATCAAATGTCAAACACTTAAAAACCTTGTCTGTTGCAGAACGGCATATCTTTGGGACTGTCAAAATAACAAGTTCGTGTACATGTCTCACAACTTTGGATTGCCAACAATTTCCCATATTCTCTCTCTCATTATTACCCATTTAGTTCTGAATGTGACCCTCAATTTAATAAAAATTTTCAATTCAAGATCCGTTTCTTAAACAACTGTCTGTCTTGAATTCCACTGTATGTTTTGATCTCTTGATATCCTGCTGC